GGGCCCCGCCTGGTGTCCCGGCGGCTGCGGGCCGGGCCCAGCCGCCCGACTCGCATTGTCCCCGGCACATGGCAGCGGGGCCTCCGGCTGGGGCCAGGCCAGGCCATGCCGTACCGGGCGGGGCTGCTCAAGGGGGGAATTTAGCGGCAGAAAGCGGTCGGCGTTGGGGAGGTGGCCCCCGTTGCCTTTCCTGTCGGTAACAAATTATCTTCATTGTCTTCCTGCTCAGCCGGGGAAAGGGTAATCTATAGAGGGGTGTTTAAAATCGTCGGTGGTGCAGGTCCCCGGTGGCCCAGAGGCTGGACCCAGCCCTGCCTAGGACTGTCTAAGGGCAGTCTTTGGATGTAGAAGGCAGTAATTTGTCAACGGGAAAGGAGGTAGCAAGACCCACATCACTTTATAAGTAGTGCAGCCTATTAACATAAGAGTGGCCTGGGCTGAGTTCAGAAATAAATCTGATAGCCTGGCGTTATTTGGTGTTCGTACAAATCCTTTGGACTCCAGGTTTGGCAGCGCTGTTGAGGTAGGTGTGCTTTCTGGGTGTAGTATCGACACGTGCCCAAGAGACGGGGAAGACAGGGTTCTCAACCCAGATATGTCATTCGCTTAGACTATATTCATGTGTCATATTGGGCTATAACAAAACCAGCAGGTCCTAGTTCTACAGGTTTCAATTTTGGAAGAAGATTATATTTTTGTTCTACTTAACTCCACCCGGGAGGTGAAAACTTTTCTTTATTGATGAGAGACAGCTATGGAACTTTTAGACATTTTGAAAAAAAGGTGTTCTAGTGTTTGACTCAGAGAAAAGGTGATAGCTTGATGGAGGAGGTGAAGGATAAGCCTGTGTGGCAGCTCTTGTGGTGCCTTTAGTTGGCCTTTTTCACAAACGTTTTTCTTTGTTGCTTTTAAGCAGACTTGAGGCCTGACAAAATACATTTAATGCAACAGATGTTCAGCAGAGCTTAGATAAAGGTGGGTTAAATGTTCTGGTGGTAGAGGAACTTTCAAGAACTAAAGGTATAGCTTCCCGTATTATAAAAAAGTGTAATTAAGCTGAATTCCTGCCTGTCATTTAATAAGTGAATGGCCAATAAATATTAGGTACATTTGAAATAGATAGCTGTAAAACTACTCAATGTTTAATTGAGGTTTGTATAAAGTAATTGCCTATCTTTTCCATATACTTCAGTAAAAAAGTATTCTATTTCTTATTTAAACCAAAAGTGAAAATAATGTAGTTGCCTATAAAGACAGTAATATATATGACATCTTAAGCTGGCCCCAAAATGCAATTTTTTGTGTTCTATGCATGTCAATATCTATATATAGTAACTTGCTTGAAATCTATTTTAGCTATTTTCTGCAGGTATTGAGTTGCTGAACATGCAGGAAATTATGTTCTGTGCCAGTCGGGGTCTTCAGCAAATGGCTAACTGTTGCATGAAGGATCATGCTCACCGGCAACTGGCTTTTGTTCACACTTTTGAATGAAAACATCATGGTCTATCATGTACTACACATGTATTAAATTAGTATAAAGTCCAAATATCTGTGCCCCTTTAAAAACACCAGACATTATTGAACCAGTGCATAAGAATTCTTTATCATTGGAAAGGTAGCCTCACTAATCTTTCACAGACCTTTTGTGATGAAAATATTTGTTAAACCCTAAATCTGCAACCACTTGTACATATATTTAGTTTTAGTCAACATGCATGGTCTTGGTTTTGCATAGGTTTATTGAAGTTAGTTATGCATTTGCTTGTAGGATACTAGTCTAAATTTGTTAACTGTTAGGGCAATTGTGTTACCAGGTAATATTTTATTTCAGGTATGGGGGTCTCTTTTTCCATAAAGATGAAATCACACAGCAGCGAATGCTATTCTTGCACGTGGCCAGGCACATACAAGTGTTTTTATAATTTAAGTTTAATAGTTGTCCTTGGTTGACCTTTTAGTTTACCTTTTATTTGTCTGAAGTGCCTCTCTTGAGCTGATGAGACTAGTTTTCAGTAGAATGGTCATTTTACCTTATCAGAAAAGAACATGCTTCAGTCAGTAATTGGTATTCCTCATTAATGGAAGAGTTAAGTATTAGATCTGTCTTCATCATAATCAACAAAGTTTCCACTGACTGGAGAAGGGAACCGGGGTGTGTGATTCTTGGTTTGTCTAGGCTTTGTTATTTTTCCTTTGACCTTGGCTAAGTCATGAATTGTTCTATGCTTTATTTCTTCTTTCACTAAGTTTTATCAGGTTATATTGCTTGCACATAAAATGCTGTGAGAACTTTTTGAGTTGAGCTATGCTTAAAAAAAAAAAAAAGCACCTATCTCAGTCTCTTTGGCTTTACTTTCCTCATTGTGAAAATAAGTTATAGGGAATGACACCACTAGCTCTTGTGCCCGACAGCTTCTCATGTAATTTCCAGCTGAGGTGTTTGCCCATCTCAGTCCCTGGCTTACAGGGGAAAACTGTGTTTTGCAAGGACTTAGAACCAGACTCTTCAAGTAAGCTACTGGAAAGCAGCAAGAAGACGTTGCCTTTTGAAAGTGTCTTTGTACTGCATGTAAAGTGTTTCCCAGAAATGGTGATGAAAATAGGTATTTTTAACTATGCAGCTATGGAATAAGACTCTGAAAATAATACACAGTGGTGTTTCATCTTTTAATATCAACATGTTCAGAAAGGTGCAGTTGCTAGATAATACTTTCCTTGCAAGTTTCTTCTTTGTAATTCTAGGGGATTTATAACTTAACTGTTATGTATGTCTTGTAAGTATCTGAGATTAACCTCAGTAGATATGAGCTATTAAGACATCTTTTTTGACTAACAACCCAATTTTTGTATCTAAGAATGTTTTAAAAAAAAAAAAGAGCAATCCCCAATAGCTCAAAATTTTTTTAAGTCAAAGCTTAACTGACTTTGTTTAGGAAAATGTTATCCTGTTGCCCTACTGAAAAAGTGTATTTCAGAAGTCATGTTTAAGCTTTTTCATGTTCCAATATAAGCGACAGGGGAAGGAAAAATGCTTTAGCTTGTTGACTAGTCGCCATAGCACGCCATCGGTTTAACAGAATACAGTAGGGCCTAGTTCAGTGTCTTTCATTGCCTGCTTAATAGATACAAATGTCAGAACGATGGAATGATTAAATTAAATGATTGGACTCTAACTACTGGGAGCTTTGGAGTGAAAGGTTGTCGAAGGGGAAAAAGCAAGCTGCTTATTACCCGGTGCCTTTCACCGAGGAATTTCCAAATGCTGAAATGCTATGTTTTGGATACTTTGAGGGTAGGTATTTATAGTGTTACCCCCATCTTTAATTTTTTTTAACCTTTTCTAACATGGTCTTCGTGTGTAACACCTACGGCTATATATTGTAGTGTGAATAAGAACAAGAATAGAGCATGAGTTTCCTGGCTCTGATTGTTAGATCATGGGTTCTCTTTTAAAGTTGTTACTATGACATTTTACCCAAAGTACTTGATTATTTTCACTTCCCTTAACTTCCATCTATATGTTTTGGTGTGTGCTAGATGAGAGATGCTTTAGGAAAGGATGGTTTTAAATTTTGTGTCAAGGCTGGTCCAACACCAGAAATCCCCTTGGGGGCAGTAAGGAACCAAGTGAGCTTTGTCTTCATTAGGAAGAAGTTACATTTTTGGTGTGTGTTAACCAGTATAAGGTAAAATCCTAGCAGACAGGGCGGCTTGCCACTTTCTCATGACTTAGCAAATACTTACTGGGTGTGCTTAGCTAGCCTTTGCTAAGAGCACATTCCTTTTTCCTCTGCGAACAGAAGAGCAAACAGGCTTCAGAACTTGCAGACAGTATTCTGATGAAATGAGCATCAAGGATGTTTGCAAGATCTGATAAGCATGTATGTATTTTTGTGGACCTTAAACTGGATTTACATATACATTGTAGCTGCATAAGAGGTGGCAAAACTAGCTTGCAAAAACCTGAGGTCAGAATGACTTCCACACCTGCTGAGTTCTTAAAAAAGAATTGAAAGAGTGCTACAGGGCAGTTTGCTGATTCAGCATGGCCTAACAGTTCCTGACCTTACCTTTCTATAAAAAAACCAAATTGTTTCATCTCAATGTAATAGTTGTGTTCACCTAGTCCTGTTATGGTCTAGATCAAAAATTGCATGTAGATTTTTTCAAAATTGAAATGGGGGAGATGCACTGAATTTGTATTTTTTCAGCTCCTTTAAAAATAAATTGTAGCCTTTATTTAAATGTGTGCTATTTTGAATAACTATATAAATAACCTAGGGTTCTAGTTCAGCAACGTATAGTAAGTATTACCCTTCTGTTTTGCTTTGTTGGTAACAGTAAAGGAGGTACCTATAGTAGTGTCTGTTATGGTATGTTAAAGTCTTAATGTCTAAGAAGAATGCATGGAGGTCTTTTTACCTGAGATGAAGCTTCTTGTTTTTATCATTTAGTGGCATGCAGGCTTTGTGTGAATACGAATAACTGACTTTAGTGGGTATCGTTACTGGGGAAAAAGTTTTTCTGTATCATAATTGATTGTTGATAGTTCATATGCCATGAACTGGTCTCTTGAATGTTAACTTCAAACTTCATTTATATTTTGGAATATGTAGCTGGCATGACACTTTGAAGAAAAGTGTGCTTTAGCACATGGCTAACAAACCAACTCTTTTAGGAAAAACTGCAATGAAATATGCAAAGAGATTGTATTTTCTGGAACGGTGATTGATATTAACAGACAGTGGTGCAACGTTTGTGGTCTGATAGAATGCATTCCTCAGCTAGTGAGGCTGCATAGCAAAGATTGCTCTTGGGAAAAGTCCCTGAATTCTTTGGCTCTTAGACAACAAAGTCATACCAGTGACACGGCATGTTGGAGGATTTGTAAGGGGGAAGGACTTGAGATCAGTTTTGGTTTTGTTTTTTTAAAATGTTGAGTTACACGTTGGGGAACAGACTGACTGACAGAACTTTTTTTTTCCAGTTGTCACTATAGTTCTCTAAATTTAATATTTATTTTAAAAGGGCATTTGTAAACAAGGAGCAAGAGAATAAAAGACAAAGTTTTATGGATGTCAAAACTTTAAAGTCATAGAAATTGTTTCTATTCTCCACACAGTTTAGAGTATGTGATAGCACCCATTGTGAAATCCTGATTTTAATTCTCGCATGTTGGAGCCATGGGACTTATGTGTAGAATGACACTACTTGCCAGTGGCTTTCACTGAAGTGGCATCAGCGCACCCGATTCTTCTGGAGACTGGGGCATGCATGGGCCAGCAGGATCCTTTACATTCAGATAGTTCCCTGATAGACCTTTAATGAATCTTCATTTGCAGCTCATCTTTTGTATAGCGAAGTATTCTGGCTAATCGCATGCAGTAAAACCAAAAGCTAGTATTTGTATAGAATATGTACCTAAAATAGGTGTGGGTTTTTTGTTTGGTTGGGTTTTTTAGCAGTGCTGTCAGTGAAGAGGAACATGATGTCCTGAGAGGCAGCCATCTTTGGAGAGTAAAAATACTAAAGATTAAAATAGCTGAAATGGATGTGTGTTCAGTATTTTTTTAATGCCATAGATACAAAATCAGCACCTATGTGGTGTCTTATTTTAAGTTCCGTTGTTTTTTTTGGGTGCCAATAAAACATTGCTTGTTCTTTTTAATAGTAAAGCAAAACAAGGGGGCAAGTGACAGGTTATTGTAGTACCTGGGGTTTTATTTGACCATTCAGTACGCACATGCCTTCACGTAGCTGTCCTTACTCCTCCTCACATTTCAGTTTCTCTGGAATCACCTTCCTTTCAGTGGCATGGGAAGGGGTCATTGTAAAGAGTTTGGAAGTCCCTTATATTCCATATAGAATGCATAGAAGTGTTAATGTAGCTCTGTGTGAATTTAGTTATGAACTGAATGGCTTAAGAGGAGGCTTTGTTTGAAAAGTGCAAGGTATTTTACTTATGCTACCTTGTATTAAAAGCACAAATTATTTCTAGTCTGAATTTCTGCTTTGAACCACTAAAGGTGATAAAGTAGCTCATCCTCGTGGTTGGTTGGTGTCTGGTGCTTGAGATGTTAATAAGGATGATACTTGTAAGATTTTTAAAAACCAAGATAATGGTATAGATGTTTTGGTCCTATCCTTTAAAACTTGTTATAGTTCAAAGAATCCAGTGAAAATATATTAATTCCACATACTAATATAATTGACATTTCTCGGAAGCTTCTGTAGCTTGCTACAGGCATAGGCTCAGTCCTGTTTTTTAGTGAAGAAAAGATTTTTCTTTGGTATTTTATTAAATTTCAATATGTGGCAGTTTTGTACACTGCTGTCTATTTTTTGTTGCTTTTTGCTTTTAAGATGCAACATTTTTGTGTTCAATTTGTTTTGTTATTCCCATTAGTGCCTTGATAGTTCTTAAGCAATTTCCATGTTTTTTATTGAAATGGATAGTTTTTATTAAAAAGATAGTTTTCATTATGAAAAAGAGAAAGTAATCCTTCATTTTTAAAATTCTAGGATTAAATGCTTTTCAATTTCCAAACATGAAATACATTGCAAATTTTCACTATTGAAAAGGTAGCTCTTAAGTTTATCATAGTCATTGTGGAAAGACATTAGTTTGCACTTTTAAGTCCATTTTATGCAGACTGTAATATGACCTTATTCGTAGGTGAGTTAAAGGTCTCCATACTGTTGGTTTGCTGTTGTATAGGTATGCTGACAGTTGCTGCAATAATGCATAAATGGTCACTTGAAGGTGTTTTTTTAGAAAGATGAACTATGAGTTGGACAGGCTTGCTTAAGGCTGGGCTTAGTTTTAAAACATTGTTGCCATCTGTTTCTTAGATTATTATATGATGAATTCATACCTTGTTAAAGGTCACTGTAAACTTGCTGCACTTGGGTTTTTCTTGCTATTTAGATATTCTTCTTTCAAGTAAGTATTTGTTCTGAATGAAGAACATGTTTGGTGAATGTAAAAGGCTGATTCCTGAAGCCTGTTTAATGATTTCTTCAACTCCATTACCTTAAACGGTAGGGTTTTTCCTCCCCCACGCTGTCTTCGGAATACAGCGAGCATGAAACTTTGGAATGCTTTGGTTGATTAGCTGACTACTGTGAAACTGTCTGAATTGCTGGTATTCTATTGATTGCATTACATCATTATAAAGATATTGTAAAACCTAACGGGAGTATTCTAATACTTAACAAACTATGACTAAATAATATTCTTTTTTTTTTTCCTTTACAGGCTCATAAGTCAGTGAACTTTGTTTCAACTCTGCTTCAGATCACTATGTCCGAGCAACTGGATTTACCAGTGAGACAGGCAGGCAAGTTTGCAAATCTTTTTTCATTGTATCTACTTTAATGGTGCATACACACAAATAAGTATGCAGGTACTGTTGAAGAATTCTAATGGTTTTAATCTCAAATACTCAAAAGTTGGGAGTCACTCGAATTAACAGTCATCATGAACTATATGTGGCACCATACACTGAATAGGGAAGACAGAAAGAAAAGGTGGCTGGCTTTTCAGTGATTGCTCCTCTTTATCTCTAGCGAGCAGTGGTCTTTGGGGAAACAGAATGGTTTATGATGCTAGTACACTTCGTCCAAGGAGGTAATTTAGCCTTGTACTAGTATGCTAATGTTTCTAAACATTTTAAGTGGAAGAAAAGAAATTATGACTTTTGTCATAATCACCCTGCTGATTTGCACATGAGCCATCAGTAAAATTGGGTATTGAATATTAGCAACTCCAAACATCACCTTAAAGCTGCTATGATTTCTTGATAGAGGCTGCTAATACGATAATTCAGTGGTTTTTCTGACAGTTCATGAAGTGTGATCATGATCACTTATTTGGATCTTCCACGTAGTAGACTATTCTAAGTTGTAGCATAAGCCTAACTTGCTTTTTTATCTTACTGCTTGGGGGTACCATTCAGATGATGACTCAAAAAAGTTACTGCTTACCATGTATAACATGCAAAAAAAGGGGCAGGTTTGAAAACAACATCTGAAAATTCACCCTCAGTGTAAGCCAATTAAAAAACAAAGCAGTCTGTAGAGAGTGGAGACAACTCATACAACGCATAGCTTACAAACAGTGCATGTTTTGCAAAGCAATTAATGGCATGATAAATCCCACTGAGGACAGATTGAAGTCTGCATCACTTCAGTCTTGTAATAGCACATATCTGATGAGCGTTTCTTACCTTTTGCATACCCTTTCAGAAACTCTTTGGTTTCTGAATCTTCAGAAGGCGCATATGAAATTTGGGAAGAGAAGTTGCTTTCTGGATTTGTACATAAAATTAGATTAATAGTAACTTTGTTATTAGTTTGTCATTTGAGATTTCCTGTTGCATTTTGTAAGTCCTTTTCTTTCCAAGTGCTGTAATCTATGTTCTGCCACGTAAGCAGTTTGGATTTGGTTGTTGAATGGTAAATGCAGGCATTTGTGCCAGCAGCCTGATTGCTACAAAATGCTGTGGCCCATAACCTTGGTATAAAGGAGCTCTGTTTCTCTTTAGCATTCACTCCTGTATCACAAACTTAATTAGATTTTTTTTTTTGCTTACAAGGGATGTTTTAGGTAGTCATTAGTATTGATTAGCTTTGTTTTAATGACAATACTGTGAAAATAATTATAAAGGATTTTTCAAAAGTGTGTTGCTAAAATGTTCCATAATTATTTATCTATAGCACAGATAAAAGCAATATGTTTAGTGTTTTTATATGAAAACACATTCTTTACAGAACTGAAAATAGACATCACAATAACTGGGTAAAAGAGTATCAACCTAGTAAATTATTAGTTAATTTGCATGGTTTATGTATTTTGATTCTCCTACTCAGAAATGGTCAATGGATTAGTTGTTTCAATCAGTTTTGTTCTAAAATAGATTTGTTTGCAAAATGCGTGTTTGTTTTGTACTTTGAATGGCTGTCAGCTGATTTGCCACTTTCGTCTCACAGGGGTTATCTACTTGAAAAATATGATAACCCAGTATTGGCCAGATCGTGAAACTGCACCAGGAGAGATTCCACCTTACTCCATCCCAGAAGAAGATAGACACTGTATTCGTGAAAATATTGTAGAAGCCATTATTCACTCTCCTGAGCTGATTAGGTATGCAGTTTTAACCTGTTTATGAATTTGCTGTGGTTTCTGACTGGGTTTCTTTTTTTTTTTGCACAGCTAAGATCACCTGCGTGCGAAGCATCATTGTCATACACTGTGTATCCTAAGCATAGAATTAATGTAGATAGAAAAACAGTTTTCAGCTTGTGTAGCATGTAGAAATTTAAAGTTCCTCAAATGGAGAATATTAAGCAGGAAGTACAGAACCTAAACCTTCTAAACAAAACACTAAATAAGTCTAAGTTTGGGCAATATTAGCTGTTTCAACACCACAACAATATTATTAAAAATAATAGTAACTCATTTAATCATTGTGCGTTTGATTTCTAGAGTACAGCTTACTACTTGCATTCACCATATTATCAAGCATGATTATCCTAGTCGCTGGACTGCAGTTGTGGAGAAAATTGGATTTTATCTTCAGTCCGACAACAGTGCTTGTTGGCTTGGAATTCTTCTTTGTCTTTATCAACTTGTGAAAAACTATGAGTAAGTTTTTTTCCTACCATATAAAACAGCAGACTTAATATATTTGTGTGTATTTTTTCTATTCTGTATGTATATTGTAACCATGCAGAATTGCGTGTGGGATTGCGCAAAGGTGATAGAAATCTAATTTTAGAAAATATTCTTGCATACTCGCTAGGCAGATGTTGGCTCATGTATCTTCTCCACTAAGAAATTACAGGAAAAGTACCTTCATTAAAGGTTTGAGATCAGAAAAAGGAGGGTGTTTTAAAGCCTTAATTTGGTAGTTGTTTTTTATGGATTGATAGCAGTAAGAAAGTCTGCTAAAAATCATGACTTTTGCAGAAAATGATTATTTATTTAAACCAGCTTTAGACTCTAAACAATTTGTACTCTAGGTATCCGTGACAGTAAACATATAATAAGGTTTCAAAGTATGTAATCTTGAATGTTAGGAAGTCCAGAAGTAGTTGACTGATTGGTATGATCATTTTGATAGCCTCATCCAACCCATCATAGGAAATCTTTATCAAAGCCCGCTGTTCTCCTATATGCAAGGCATTGGGCTAGGATACAGGTGAATGTTCTTTGTATCTGGTAGTATGCTCAGAGCTTTAAAGTTGAGGTTGCACTTTGAGAAGTTGCGTGGAGCTTAGCTGCTGCTGCTGGCATGTAGGAAGCTCATTTGAGCTGGGTCAGATAAAAGTGCCATCCTGGAGTCAGGGAATTGTAGTAGTGGTACTGATGGAATCCACAACTTGCTCTTTCAAAGCACTGTCATGCATAACATTTGTTTCAGGTACTTGATTTAAAATGTTGCATTGAAAAATTTCGTTGTCTAATTCCATGAATTTTACATAAATTAGTGTAAAACAGGTAAATATCAGTTTCTCAAAAATCCTTTTTTACAGGAATTCTATAAAGACCTTTGTAATCCCATGTTGGAGTTTTTTCGGTGGCTGAAAATTGCAAGTCCTGCTAGAAAAGGAAAATAAACTCATTTCTTACTTGATCTTCAATTCAAACATCTTTAACCAAATATACAGCAGAGATCTGTGAGATACAAAACATGAAGTGTTCACTGGTAGTGTATTATGATTACAGAAATCCTTGTTTAGGGAAGAATTTTGATGTGACCACAGTCACTGTGTGATTAACTAAGGTAACAGGTGTTTTCATAATCTTAGTTGATCAAACACTTTAGGTGAGGCCAGCAACTGCTCATACTTGTTTAGCTTTCTGGTGAAGTCAACAAGGGTTGGTTTCACAAATCATGTAGGAATATGGACATTTCATTGCATAACAATATGGGTGCAAGCAGGTCGCTAAAATTTGTTGAATTACTAATGTCAGGGTTTTTTTTGGAAAAATCTGCATAATGTGACTTTGATCAAGTTTTTACTGCTTGAGTTGTAGGAATATTTAGCTATTGAATTTTTTTTTCTTAATGTAAATATCTTGGGGCTCTTCAACTTC